ATTTTTTGATAACGTCATTTTTTTTTTTGCAAAAAAAAAAAAAAAAAATAAAAAAAAAAAAATTACTATATAAAGAGTCATTAATCATCTATTGAAAAAAATTTTTTTTCAAAAAAAAAAAAAAAAAATTTTTTTTTTCTTTTTGCATCGTTTACAAATCTTTCAAGAATACACGATAAATTAAAAAAGAAAAAAAAAATCGATTAATCAAGAATTTATTAAGTTATAAGTAAATATGGGTCTTCCTATGTACGTTTCTCCATCTCTGTCAAAAAGACAACTTCCACCAAAGCAACCACAGCAACCACAGTCACCTCCGTATACACCATATGAAGACACTGATTTTGCTGGGGAACCTTATCAGAATTCAAGAACAAGTGCTTTTGGTAATCGTCGCTATTTTCTCCGAAATGTTTCTTCGACCTCACTTCCATATAACGGTGAATACTCTGTTTATGGAGGCGGAGTTAATGGTACCGGCTCATATCGCTCGTCAGAGCTAAGCCCGGCAGACCAACAACCAATAATAGAGATACCAGAATTGCTTCAACCAAGGAATTCTGTCTCTCAACAACCACCACATAACAACCAACCACGAACACAAAGAATAAGATCTTCAGTATCATATAATAACTTGGTTCAACAGCATATTCAAAGACTACATCACCTTCAACATTTACACCGTACAAGGGAGCAACAACTCGCCTCGTCAAATTTAGCTACTAGACGTGGGATGCAGTCCGCTCATTTATTAAGTCTTAATCGTGCTCAACAGTTTATGCAAGCACAACAGCAACAGCAAGCAGCACTTGCTGCCGTTGCTCAAAATCTTTTTCCTACTCATGAAGATCAACAAGAATCTCAAGACGAAATTATTGATCTAAATTTTGAAGAGGTACCAGTTCAAACACCTCGTTCAACTGATATACCTTCCAACAATTCTCAAAGAGAAAATAATAATAATGATGATAATAATAATAGTAATAATTCGACAGTTCAACCAAGTCATAATGGGGTTGCATTGGATAGTGTATTTAGGCGGGTAAATTTACTTCGTCAACTCGTTCAACAAGATAATCGTGTTATGCGACCTACCTCTAGACATCACAGATCATCATCAAATCATGGTAGAATATCAAATACGAGAATATTAACATCATCACCGTCTTCCGCACAAACAAGGGAAGACCTTCTTCAGCGCGGAATTGACGCACCAACATTGATTCGAGTTTCAAGTTCACAAGTTCCACCACCTACATTTTCACATCTA